TGGCAACCACGAATCACGGACCTGTCTCCCCGATCCAATTTTCGAAATTTATAACTTCTACAGGTTTGAAATAAAAATGATAACTTTAAACTAAATTAAATGTATTTGAATTCATTGCTAGAACGTTTCTACCAAATTTGAGTATTGTCCTCTACAAAAATTTCATTTTTTCATTTAAAATTTGTATGATTATTACAATAAAATTCTCATTGAAAATTTGAAATTGTTGTAGAAGACAATATAATTTGAGGCTTAAAGATTTGACTAATGTACTGTTTGTATGTTCTTACCTCATCTAGGAAGGCGAAACTGCATTACAACATCTTTCAACATGTCCAATGCCCCGTGTACGTACATGTATACACCGACAATATCATAAACTGTTAAACTTCATAAACTGTTAAATTTAACAGTTTATTAGAGAGACTTATCTTGGAAAGTCGTGGCGGTGATTTTTACTTACAGAGTCGTTTAAATTGTATATTTTTTCTCAGATAATTAAAAATTTAGGATGTTTATTGTAATAATAAATCAAAGACATTTTACACATGTACAATTTTTATTAAAGATTGAGTGTCATCGTGAACTTCGATACAGAATTTTTATTTACGATCATCAATTATGCTTATACATGTATGTCTCAGAGATTGGTATTTATATACAACATTTATACCAAACATTATCGATCCTTTCCATGAATTAATTAAGAGGGGCGACTGGGGTTATATTGTATGAAAACTACAATAGCGAAACTCTTCATTTTTATATCATATATAACGTACATTAACTTCAGCGTACATGCCAAGTTCGGGGAAAATACCGTCCAGGTATTCTTAGGGGACCGTATCAAATCACAGGTACATTTACTATAGAATTATATAGAAAAGTGCCACTTTTTAGCACTTTAAAGCATATATTATACAAAAACTACAATAGACTTTTTGTTAAATCTATAATGTATGATGAGTAATACTATATTGTACATTATCTGTAAAAAAAAAACAAAACAAAATTATACCTTCTTGTTACCAGAGGGGGCATCTCAAACTGCTAACAAAAAAAGAACGAATTTTCCTGTTTTTATATAGTACTACAAAATATTACAAGCATAAGAAATTAATATGAAAACATAATAAAAATATCGGATATATTCTTAAATTTCAATGTTTTAAACTTCAAGAGCGTATGTTTATTACTTCCCAACTCGTTATAACGAGATACTTACTCGTTATAACGAGATATTAACTCGTTATAACGAGATAACTAAGTCGTTATAACGAGATAACTAACTCGTTATAACGAATTAAATATTTTTTTTTCTTTTTAAAAATGAGCCTATCCGGCTTTCGTACTTATCAATTGCAAAAGCGGTTAAAAATCATTTATATAAAATTGTAATTACATCTTTCAACCTCTTATTTGTTAAGTTTGTTTAATTTTATTAATCAAGTGAAAAAAGTTGCTTTAAACAGTAAGAACGCTTCTTTTTGCTATGATGCGCGAAATAATGCGCAATGAAAACCAAAGATGGCCCACTTAAATATATGCAGATCACGATTGAACACTAAAAATAACCTTACACTAATATTTAAAACGTATTTTGAAATGCTTAATTTTGTAGATGATCGGTCTTACTGGCACGAAAACAGTGAACATTCTTGTGTTATTAACTTATTTATTTTATAGATTACCAATTTTGATTTTGATATTTTTTTTTATTTTAACATCAGATGACACGTTCCTCAAATATATCTTCTTGGGGTATTATATAAAAAATGTATATTTGGCATTCTCTTGTGATTTCTACATAGTTTTCAATATGTTTTTAATTATAGGTATATAAAAATGATGATTACCCATTTGAGATATATAAGAAATATCATCCCTGATATCTTGTCCAAATACCTGGTAAGGTACCCTAATTTTTGCGAGGAAACTTGTTTAAGAACACAAACTCCAATGACATGTTCTTGGGGAAAAATTATATATTTTTGAGGAATTTATCAACTGACCTTAATACCTCGACCTTCGCACCTACTTTATTCTATAGATCACTTTTTTTAGCGTTTTTAGCTTTTTTAATTTTATAAATTACCGTAGATTTCAAGTTTTATACCTCGACCTTCGCACGAAAACAATGAATATTATATATTGGTTTTAACTTTTTTATTTCATAGATTACCCTGGATTTTAATTTTTGTACCTAGGCCTTCTAAAATGAAAAAAAAACTGCCCACAAATTCTAAGAAATTTATTTTGCAAATTGATTTATGTCGCAAAATAGAAATGAATTAAAACGAAGAAAAAGAATGTAAATTCTGTTTCATGATTTTTCTGTTTTTACTTTTGAACCAATCTTGACATAATACATGTACAATTTATCATGCACATCAAATATTAATTTATCTTTTTTCCCATCAATAACTCATCGGCTGATTGCTTTCGAAAAAAAAGTAAGTTTAATTGCTTGTATGAACAAGGCCCTGGTTCGTTGAATCGTGGAAAAGTTGACAATCTAACATCAGGTGTTTTCTCTGTCTTAATTCTTTTTTGCAACGTAATGATCCGTCACCAAGTAAATTATGATATAAGCATTTTATATTAACACATGCTGTGGAAAGAAAATAACTTATTTACAACACAATATCCAATCCCTGTATACTGTACCTACTTACTGTAAGGTTAATAAAACTTTTTAGGGAGGCATTCTGGGAGTATCTCAGAAAAATCATGAGCATTAATTCTAAGTGATTGGTCTTTTTTGCTCAGTCTAAAACAAGGGATATTTAATGTAATAATCCAATGAGAAGCCATTTTAGCTCATCTGGCCTATATCTTGGATTTTATTTTTATCCTTTTGTACCGACATTCATGATGGCATCCAATCTTATTATGATTCTTGTGCATACCATCTAGAGTGCATTTTGGAAAGCCGTTTTATTAAGCAATCAGATTTGCAATTCAAAGTTAAACTTTATAGGACACTGTTTGCATCTACAAAATCATCGTGCATTAAAGCTTGCATTGTGTAAGTCTACAATAAAATGGAAATGATTTTTTTTTCCGTTAATTTATACATGCTTTACTTTATCTACTTATGAATTCACGATCTTAAAATCAAGCTTTGCATTTTTTTATTAGTGCGAAAACAAAACAATGTTAGGAATTATACATAAATGATAATTGGAATTATACAGACATCTAAAATATCCCTCAATCTAAAAGAAAATAAGCCATTTGACAGGTAAAAATTGATTCTTTCATTACTCATATTCTGCTTAATCATTAATATGAAAAACTGCAGGTTTCTGATATTATACATTAAATTTTTTCATGATTGCATTATTATCAAAATCAAACCACTGTAATCTAAAAAGAAATGTTTAGATTTTTAAAAACATTCTTTTGGAGAGGGTCTTGAATAATTGTAATCTACTACATGTACATGTGTATATGAAATCTAGAAAGGGATTAAAATCAATACTTGTTAAAAAAAAAATATATAATAAATTTTCTTTAAATTTGGTTTGACTTATATGAATACAAATGAATTTAGTTGTATAGAAAGGTCTATTAAATTTTAGTTCATTAATGTTTACGAATTAATAACTGTAGTTTATAAATATAAAATGATCTCTCAATTAAATACAGTCTCAATTGTTAAGTAGTAAAAGATTACCTAACTGGTCAAATTTTAATCTCCCGAAATCTCATTAAATACGTAAATTTATTCATGAATGGATACGAACTAAATCATTGAAAATTCATAGTTTTGCATTTATAAAGGTCATATCCATATTAAATATCATTCTCGTTATTTGCCTGACACTATCTACAATAACGATGAAGGTAAGCGCTGTTATTTCCATAATTTCACAATGTTTCATGTCATAACTTGTTAATTATATTAAGTTAATTGTACGTCATATTTGTGTGTTGAGATGTTGAATATCATATAAATAAACCAGGGCAAAATTTCATAAAATTTTATTTACATATATTCAATTTGGAGTATCAAAATAGCACGTTACATTCAAGTTGGTTTGAGTTGTAGGATTTCATTTTACTGTTGCATAAGTTTTATTATGAAAAAAATTATAATGAATCAATAATAATGTGAGCCTTAATTTATTTTGTTTATTCAATATAAAATTATTTATGATAATATTTCCCTCATTATCACGGTATGTAGTCAGGCCTTATCGTTATCACTGCATGTAGTGTCATTATTTATCATTATCTGAATATGAAACAAAGTTTAATTACATACACATTGTATATTACATATATTAGGATATTTTACTTGGAAAAGACGTTAATGGTAATCTAACGAACAAGTTCTTTGATAAACGTGATGACTTTAACTTTACGATCGTTAACTTCCTTTACTTATGCAGCAAAATACCTTCATCACCTGCATACGATGTTTATATATCTCAGTTGATTCGATACGCAACTACTCTACGTATGAGCAATTTCTAAAAAGAGGTAATTATTGACAAACAAGTTGATGAAAAAGAACATCAGTAGTTTCGTTAAAAGTCATCGTTTCGTAAGTTCTACGGTCAATACATTGACTTTTTTCAGCAAATTCAATATCATTTAGTCAAATCTTGGGTGTCGTTTTTCATACTTTTTTAGTACATTATTTCCTTACACACTGACATGTCGACGGATTTTCCGTTATTTCTGGATTATGACCAAGGAGCACACGGCGGATGTGAGCTAACGGCAGGGGATGCTTACTCCTCCGTGGCACCCGATCCCATCTCTGATGTTTGAAGTCCGTGGTTGCTTTGCTCCTTTTTTGTATTTATTTGTTTTATGGACTTTCGATCTTGAATACTAGTCGTTATCTTCATATGTTTGATGTACATGTGTATCTGATACGTATTCAAAAAACAAAATATAAAATGAGTGGTTTTGCAACTATCTTTACATCAAATACTAGTACTTCAATTTTTGTACAATAAAAGTTTTATTCTTGTAGGTGATTTTGACATTTGTACTTGCCAACTGTCTTGGCTTTCCTCTAGCAGTGTGTTTCGTGTGTAATAAAATGGCGTCCATTTGCCAAACGTCACTTATCGTAGAACAGAACATGACCATGTTTCACCCAAAAGCAGGGAAAGTTATCCTGCATGGAGGTAAACTCTATCCATACAATATTGACTTGAAAACAGCAACTATTGACGACATTGTTCCTAAAGAAGAAGTAATCATTGCAAATGGCATTCAAAGACCTGTGGTAGTTTTCAACGGGACTCTTCCGGGGCCTGATATAATAGTTTATGAGGGACAAACATTGTTTATAACAGTCACAAATAAATTACCGTCGGAAATTCTTGGCATACATTGGCATGGCATGCATCAAAGAAATACACCTTTCATGGATGGGGTATCTTTTGTAACACAATGCCCCATACTACCTGGACAATCTTTCACATACAAGTTTCAAGCATATCCTAAAGGAACATTTTGGTACTATTCCACGATAGGATCTCAGAGAATCAATGGAGCGTCTGGGGCTTTTATTGTTCATTCTAGATCAGAAGATAATCCTGAACATATTCTACAAGTTCAAGATTGGTACAATCGACAGCATGTAACTGATTATTTGACAAACGCTCTATATGTTGATAATTTTAATTCACCTAAACTCCCTACTGATGGCATGTTCGCTCCTGATGATGCTCTTATAAATGGAAGAGGAGGCGGAAATTCAATTCCATTTTACGTGTTTCGAGTCAATGAATATGAGACATCTTACCGGTTCCGTTCAATAAATGTAGGGGCATTTTTACCATTTCGAATTTCCATTGATGGCCACACAATAAGAATACTGGGATTTAACGGATACAGCATCAAGTCCCTACCTTTTGATTCCTTTATCCTTTACCCTGGAGAGAGGATTGAGTTTACTGTGTCAAGAATAAGCTCCGATGTTCAGAACTTCTGGATAAGAGCAAACACTTTAGAAAAAGTTAGTAATGTTGAGGTACGAACTATATTAAGATATAAAAAGGTTGATACAGTAAATCCTAATACATCCAAAAAGTTTTGCACATTAACAGATCCCTGTTTGGTGTTCAATTGTCCATTTAAACACGATCTAGAAGATCGAAACACAAAGTGTATAACTGCTGATCATGTATTTTCCAGAGAACCGTCCATTTTTCCAAAGTTAATAAATAAACGTCACTTCAAAGAATACTTTTTTAACTTTGGCTTTTCTGGAAAATCAACTTCTGTAAATGGAAGGCAGTTTTTGTTCCCCCAAGTCTCAGCTCTGACGCAACCAAATAGTATATCAAATCTCTGCACCAAAGCCAATTGCAATGAGAAAAAATTATGTCAGTGCACTAACTCTTTAATCCTTCTTCATAATGATACACTCCACTTTGTTCTAACCAATCTTGGCTTTGGGAATGGATGGGCACATCCAATACATTTGCATGGACACTCATTTGAGCTTTTGAAAATGGGATTTCCAGTATCTGATAAAACCAATGGACATATCATTTCTCAGAACAACGAAATCAAATGTAGAAGAAATGTGTACATTTCCGAAGAAAATATCGTCTGTAAAGAAGTTATTTGGAGTGATCCATCTTGGAAAAATGGGAATGTCCCTGGACTAAACCTTAAGAACCCTCCCATCATGGATACAGTCATTATTCCTAGTGGTGGATATGTAGTCATTAGGTTTAGAGCCAACAATCCGGGTCTTTGGTTGATGCACAGTCTTGTTGACCATCGATCACAAGGGAGCATGTCTGTTATGTTGAATGAATCGTTCCCATTTATTCCTAAACCTCCTTTAAATTTTCCTAAATGTGGCAATTTTAATGACGTGCCTTTTCCGTTACATTAAATTGTTATAATATTTTTCAATTTCTGTCAATGTTTCAATTCAGTTTATTGTATTTTTGTGATATTTTGTCCAGTTCTGAATAGTTTAATTTTCTTTGATGTTTGTATATTAATAAGTCACACAAAATTTGAACAAAGCGTAGAATATTCAAATCTTCTGACAGTTTTAATTGTTATGCTCATTCATGATGATTGTATATTTTTGAAAAAAAAATTGGACAAATGGTATAAACAGGTGTGAAATTTCCCTTTTCCTTATCTTTTTACCTATCACTTCTTTCCTTTACCTCCGACGAGAAATCCCTTGTTAGATCCTTATTTATGGATCTTCACTGAATTCATTAACTGGAGCATGAATCTTGAATGACGTTCGTATCTTCTTAATTAATTGTGGTTGCACAATTTATAACACTTTGGAAATAAATTCTTCAATTAGAATAAATAACTCTACTTCTTAATGAATAGTATAAAAACAAAATAAATATGAGGGAACCACACAATAAGATATAAATTTTTTCGACCGTCTTTTACTAGACATTTAATATCATTGCAAACATTCTATTTGCATACACATCAACAGATAATCCAAAAGATGAGAACATTACAGAAATATAATTACTGCGCAGCACCAATCATGTTGGATATGTTTTCGCTTGCTTCATAATATTGGACTTTTATTGGAAGAGCAGTACAGCTAGTATTAATCAACAATATAAAAATATATTTATTACTCTGCCTGGCATTTTCTTTTTTCCACTTCTGGGTGTAAGAAAATTGTTAAAATAAAATTTTAAGCGATGTTTACCTTAAAATTATTATTAAACATGGCAATAGTAGGGCTAGGTATTGGTTACTTCATATTGAAAATGACTTTCCTTATTTCTTTTTTATTTTATTTTCATTTATTGTGATATGCATTGTAATTGTATAAATAAAAATAAAATAATCTTTTCTCAATTTTTTTTTAATTTTCAATGCCACTTTTTTTGAAAATGAATCGCAAATTACGTTCACTCGAATATTGCATACAAGTATATCGCGATGTATCTAATATATTAGGCAATCAGCAATGTATTTTCAAAGGTGCATGGACACAGATTTGAAGTTAATATTTTCTGTATAATATCACGACTTATATATTGTAATAGCATTTCACACAAAAATATATTAAAAATTTAATTTCATTGTTATTGAAACTTTAAATTTTTTATGGGTTTGATTGACACATCCTTGCACTCTCACAAATTTTCCTTTTATTCTTAATACACAGGAAAAGTGGCAATCTACTTAAGTGCTCTTTCAGTACATCTGATAAAATAAGTTTCCCAGTCATCTCAAAGACGTGTTACTCATTCTTGGTTTTCTATGCAAAAAAAGGTAAAAGATGAATTTTGAAACATTCTTAAAACCAATCCAAAATATTTATAGGACCCTCACAAGCTCATGTAAATTATGCTGAAATCATTATAGCAAATGAAAAGTCTAGACTTGCACTGTGACAATTTTTTTATTCATCCCATAAAAAACATGCAATCAAATTTTGTGCATAAATTATCAACAGCGACAAACTGATATCTGGAATTTATGCCCATATTAATTTTTCATTTTTTACGTTCAATATGTCTAGTATCGTATTACAAATGATAAAATATGATCGTTGGGGGTAATCTTTATGTAACTTCAAAACAAAAGACCGTGTTAAACATTTGCAATTAAATAAGAAATAAGTTGACATTAAAATATTTTAATCTCATTATAACACATCTAGTTGTATAATAATGTTGGAAGGATTTTTAATGCCAAGTTGACGAACTAGAATAGGTAAAAAAAACTGGACATGATTTGCTGCTCTACAAAAGAAGATACAAAGAAGATACTTGCAATACGCAAATTCATTTATTAAGGTAAGACAATTTTTCAATTAAAATAAGATGAGCTTTTTCAAATTCTTCAGCATCGAATTTAAAAGATAATAATCAAATATCTTATAAATTGAACAGTTTTGTTTTTGAATAATCTTTAACCAAGGTGATTTTAAATACTGGAAAAACATATTTTCGATACTTTCTTTATTCTCAGAGCATTGGTAGATACCAAAAATGGAATCTGCAGGATTAGATTTTGAATGCCTAACATGTAATTTCCTGGTATAAACATAATTTATTTATAAAAAAAAAAATTAGTAACTTGTCCAATTAATGATGGATTGTAACGAAATTAAACTTTTCTTTTTAAACATTGACAATGACAAATCTGTGATTAATCATAATTTATATTTAATTACTAAACAATTACGCTTAACTTACGGTGAAGTTTACATTTTCAAAGTAGATGAGTCCGCTTTCTCTTTTAAATATTATAAGCAAATGTAGTACATGTACTTTCAAGTATTATTCAAATTTTACTAAGTATTTCCTTTTTGTGCGTGCAATATCTGCCACTTTGATAAATTAAAACTGTTTACAGTTAACAATGTAATTGCTTTATATCTTAAATTATCTAAAAGTTGAATTGAAAGGAGAAAGTTGTTCTAGTACAAGGCCAAGCTAAATAATTTAAAATTAAATTTTTAAGAGCATTTGGTAGAAACTTGCAGCGCAAAAACAGTTTAAGTCTCAGGATTATGTATTTCTTTGACTAAAAGGAGATTTGATTGTATATCAATCTGTGTAATTACGGTAACCCTTGTTCATCTGAATGGTTTTATTTTCTCTCAGACATGTAAGTTTAGCTATTTTATATACATGTACTTATGTCATTTACAAATTTTGCGATTTTATATATCTGTCAATTTTCGAATTTTTTTTCCGAAAGCATTTTAATGAAAGAAAAACAAGAGAAATTTTAAATTACCTTTAATTCAAAGTCGATTGTCCTGAATAAACGATTGTGGTGCCCTTCAGTATTCAAAGCAGCTAGTTTTCATGCCTTTGTTATTCATATCTCCTGAAGTATCACAACAGAAGTATATTGTTTGAACTCCAAATATATATACCTGGAGGTCTTTTCACAAGTTATACAGATGTGCAGTTTCAGCCATAGCTTTAAACGTTCAAAAAGTTGAAATACAAACAAAAAAAACAACCAAAAACTATCTTCGATATCGAAGGCAATTGAAAAGAATATATAATTCTATCTAATTCTATCTAACCTAATGTACTTCTATATACATTAATGTTGTACTTAAAAAAAAAGAATATATTTACTCGATAAAATGGATTTTTCAAATGTGTTTTCGATAACTTTGTTTTCTGAATATCGTTTAATGTAGATTTATGAAGTAAAGGTTTGTATGTCTTGACAAATCTAATTATATAGCAATTAAATAAATTATAAAGCAATAATGGGATTGTTTACTAGTCCATGGCTATAAAAGCAAATATATAATTTGAAAAAAGGTCAACGAATTTCAATGATGTTTTTTTCCAAAAAGTATGATGGATAGATATTTAAATATCTATCAAGCAATAATTAATTTGTTTATATTCGTCTAAAGATATTTTTAGCATAAATTTGTCTTCAACTTTGATTCATTTCTTTTAATGTTTTCTTTTTTTCATAGATGGCACGTATTTGGAAGATCTGTCTTTACATATTGTGGACTTTATCAAAGGCTTTTGGATACGTTTGTGATCAAAATGCTAGAGAATGTGAAACGACTCTTATTATTGAAAATTATTTCACAATGCTGCACGAAAAACTATCGTCAGTGTTTTCTGCTAATGGAAAAATATACCGATATAACGTGAAAAATATAACATCCGCTACTCCAGTTCCCTCAGATGAGGTCATAACAGCTGACGGGTGGGAGAAACCACGAATGGTTACCGTCGCTAATCGAACACTCCCTGCTCCGGATATTATTGTATATGAAGGTCAAACAGTGATTGTGCATGTTATTAATAAGATGCACTCTGAATCAGTAACCATACACTGGCATGGACTTCATCAACGTAACACACCATTTATGGATGGCGTCCCCTTTATTACACAGTGTCCTATTCTGCCTGGGCAAAAGTTCACATACAAATTTCAGGCGTATCCACGTGGGTATTCTGGTATCATTCTCATTCTGGGTCACAAAGATCAAGTGGATTGGCGGGGGCTTTCATTGTGAGAAAGAAAGAAATAAATCCAATAGAGGAACATATTCTTCAGGTAATGGAATGGAACCATGATTCTGATGCGGTTAAACAAAACCTACTACACGAACATAATGTTATCGAGAATAGAATGTGGCGCTCATCATCCAGGTCACATGATGGGATGACTTTTAGCCGTATGGTTTTTCACTCTGTTCTAATAAATGGTAAAGGGCGATACTATGATCAATCAAAGGATCACAACGGTGCGCCATTGGAAGTATTTCATGTTAGGAAAGGATTAAAGTATCGGTTTCGTGTTTTAGCAACAGGTGCCAATTTTCCCTTCAGAATATCTGTGGATGGTCACAATTTAGTTGTCATAGAATCAGATGGTTACCCTATTCAACCTATGGTTGTGGAGTCGTTTATAATAAATCCAGGGGAAAGATTTGACTTTTATCTTGAAGCGATTCGTCCTATTGGTAATTATTGGGTACGTGGAAAAACACTAGAGAGTAATCGACATACAATTGCAGAAGCCATTTTGAGGTATGAGGGTGCTGATGAAGTTGAACCAAACTCTAAGAGAGCTGTCTGTTCTGAATATGTCCCTTGTCGTGTGTTAAACTGTCCGTTCTCTTCATTTGGGTTTGTGAAAGGAATAGAATGTATTCCTTTTGATCAATTAAAATCAAGCACTGATGATGATCCTGCGCCTCCTGTTATCCCCGGAAGGTTTCAAGAACATTTCTTAAATTTTGGATTCTTCGGAAAATACCCATCTGTGAGCGGAACAGAATTTGAAATGCCGTCTGTGTCGGCTTTAACACAACCACAGGAGGTAAACACACTATGTGAAGGAAGATGCCCAGATAGAAAAACCTGTAGATGCACACATTCTCTTCAATTACAATATGGTGATACCGTGCAACTTGTTCTTTCGCACCTGGGCATGGGTTCTGGATGGTATCATCCTATACATATGCATGGACATTCATTCCATGTTGTAAAGATGGGATACGCAGCTTTCGATGAGGAGTATGGGTTTTCTTAAAAA